ATTTAAGTTGGTAGCAGTAGAAATGGAAAAAAGAGGTTAAGTGTAGGTAGAACCAGGAGAAACAAGGAACCAAGATTTTTGAGCTTGGGTGACTGACTAATGATACATTTATTTATAGAATGAAGGAAGTTTAAAAGACTTTTGTCTTGGATACGTCAAATTTTTCAAGCGCTCCGGATATCAAGCAGATGAAGTCTTAATCTAGTTTACTATGTTACTATGTAATTTAGCTTCCAGATTATTTTTTAAAATCAAATTTCACAAGAGACATGGGTCACGTTTTTCTCTTGGTATTTCATTTTTTCCTAGTTTCTTCTTATCTTTGCCATAACATTCATTGAAAAGTGTTGATAAAGTTATTTTGAGATATTTTAGAAACTGAGGCACTTGATGCACCAGGAAGAAGGGAAAAAAAACAGAAATGTACAAGATTAATCCACAATATACAACACAAGTGAAAAACTAAAATGTCAGACAAATATTAACAAAATACAGTATTTAGATGATCATATAGCTAGAACAAAAAGGGAACTATGCAATCTCATTTTTTTAAAGGCAATTACTTTAAAATGGCAGAAAAAAAGACAAATATAAAAATATTCATGATAAAAAGCATTTGGGTGGGGCTGGAGTTGTAGCTCAGCGGTGAGCACTTGCCTAGCATGTGTGAGGCACAGGGTTCTATTCTCAGCACCACATATAAATAAATAAAATAAAGGTCCATCAACAACTAAAAAAAAAATTTTTTTAAGCATTTGAGTAAAACTAGATACAATGGCAAAAAAAAATTCTAATTCAAACATTAAAAAAAAATACTGATTTTTCAATGGCTCAGGAGGCTAAGGCAGAGGATTGAGAGTTTAAAGCCAGCCTCAGCAACTTAGCAAGACCCTAAGCAACTCAGTAAGACAGTGTCTCTAAATAAAATACAAAAAAAGGGCTGGGGATGTGGCTCAGTGGTTAAGTGCCCCAGGGTTGAATCCCCAGTACCAAAAGCAAAACAACAACAACAACAAAAATCACCTGATTCTTATTTGCAATAAAAACACAAATCCCCTGTTAAATAAATAATTGACTCTCAAAACATGGCCAGGTTCTATCTTGATAGCTTAACCAAAAAGAGCCAAGCAGCTACTTTCTATCTCTCATTCTTCAGGAGACATTAATTACACTCCAAATTTTTCTCAAAGAACAATTAATTTTTTACTTTGGGAGTTTTTACTCTGAAGTGAAAGCAGATTTCTATAACGATTTTTTAAAAAACAACTAGCAATATTCCAAAGCAATCTGAGCATGGTGGCTGTGCCTATAATCCTAGCCACTTGGGAGGCTAAGGAAAGAGGATCACTTAAGTTCAGGAGTTCAAGACAAGCCTGGGCAACATAGTGAGACCCTGTCTCAAAACAAAACCCAAAAGCATCAAAGATATTATATGCAAATGGAAAAAATCATGGGAAAAAAGTCCAAGATGTTCACAAAAATATATAAGCACTAGGTTCAATCAAGCATTGAAAGAAAAATAATAATCACAAAAAGAATAATTATGTTTAACTTAAAGTCATATAAATGAAAATGCACCAAGAGATCTGATTAAAAATTGCCTTCTAGAAAGATGAAATTTTCTTGCAAAATAGAAATTCACATTATGTAAATAAAACAATTTAAAAGATCACCAAATTTTAACGAGGACAGAAACTGTTTTTAGTAGTTAATATATATTTTTCTTTTGCCCCAAAATTTAGCTCTAAAAAGACTCAACTTTTTCATATGAATTTAAATTCTCTTTTATTAAATATAGAGTATAAAAGCACTGTGTATTATCAGTGTAAAATGATCTGTTCACCGAAACCTGAGAAGAAAAACTATTACTACCATCACTACTGTTTACAACAAGTGTGGCTAAAAACAACAAAAAGGGAGTACGATAGCCTAAAATGTGTTTAATTTTTAAAATATATATATATATATATATATATATATATATATATATCTCGAAGATATCCTGCAAGAATAGAAAATACACAACAAGAGTGTAAATAGCATGGTCTCAAATTAAAAAGACTTTACCACGTATCTATAAATTAATTTTTCCCTATAGGCGCTATTAAAAAAAAAATGCCCGGGCACAGAGACACACATCCTGTAACTTCATTTACTTGGGAAGCTGAGGCAGGAGGATAGGAAGTTGGAACTCAGGCCGGGCAATTTATAGAGATCTCAAAATAAAAAGGGTTGGGGATGTAGCTCAGTGGTAGAACACACGTGGGTTCGTTCAATCCCTAATACTGACCAAAAAAAAAAAAAGTGGTGAAGAAAGTACACCATATTTCCCATTAATTCTCAAAGGTTATTTTTGTTTTGCTGGTAAATCTAGACCCCACTAATTCATAGTGGTCATTAAACATTTTTCCCTATTACAAATTTTTTAAATATATTTTTTTAGTTGTAATTGGGCACAATACCTTTATTTTATTTATTTTTATGTGGTGCTGAGGCTCCAACCCAAGGCCTCGCAAGTGCTAAGCAAGTGCTCTACCACTAAGCCACAACCCCAGCCCCCCTTATTACAATTTTTTATGCTACAAATATTATCTCACAACAGTATCTGAGGATTAAAAATCTGAAAGTGTCTTAGGTGGGTCATTCTAACTCAGGGTGTCCTTGCAATCAAGATGTCATTTGTATATATTACTTTTTTTTTTTAAATATAAGTCTGTTTTTCAAATGGCAGTGTGTCCCTTTTTTTTTTTTTTAAGTGAGAGAGAGAGAGAATTTTTTAATATTTTTTTTTTCGTTATTGGTGGACACAACATCTTTGTTGGTATGTGGTGCTGAGGATCGAACCTGGGCCGCATGCATGCCAGGCGAGCTCGCTACCGCTTGAGCCACATCCCCAGCCCTGTATATATTACTTTTAAAAAAAATATTTTTATTAGTTATTGATGGACCTTTATTTATTTATTTGTTTATATGTGGTGCTAAGAATCGAACCCAGTGCCTCACAGATGCTAGGCAAGCGCTCTACCACTAAGCCACAACCCCAGCCCTATATAGTACTTTTTAAAGCTGTAGAGCATATGAAGAATTGCCTGAATATAGGTAAAAGGAAAAAAAAAAGAAAGAATTGCCTACCCACCATGAAAGTGAAATTTTGAAAAAACAACAAACTATCACTAACACATTTTTAATGCATTTTTATGTGTAAAATGCCCTCAAAGTTGTCCAAATTATAAAAGTTTAGCTTGTAACATTACATTTGAAGATATTTGAAGCTCCACATAATTGAATTCAATTTATTAAAGCAAATGAATTCTAACTTCATAAAGCTTTCCTGAAGTACTTAAAAGAAAGTCAAGACATAAATATCTGAAGTCATCCATAACACAAAAAAGAATTCACTAAATTATGTCTGAACTGTAGTAGGAGAAAAATGAGCAAGATATATTATTCTTAGTTATCTCCCTACCCATTTGTTTCAAGCTGACATTACAAATTAAATTAATGAAGCTATGGACTTTTTTTCCAAAATTGAAAAAAAAAACACTTTCAAATATTATCATAAAAGAAAAAATATTAGAAAAACTTTTATTTATAATCATGCTTCAAGCATCCCTTTTGGTGTCTTGAAAAAAATGTTTCATACAGGAAAACAGAAGCCTCTAAATTAAAGATTCCTTCCAATATGTTTCAATTCAAATATCATCCAAGGTATTCAATACTTGTTATTTGAAATTACAGAGTTAAGACAAATTATCCAAGATTAGTCACATTGTTATATTTGTCACCATTATGGCTTCTTTAAAAATCCAAGAAGCAATACATAGCATTCAACTCCCTCAGTTCTTTAAAATTATTCCCCATTTCTCCCACCCCACCCCGCCCCCAACGTTATTCTATCCATTTGGTCAAAAGAAAAACAGCAGATACATCTATGTTGTCTATCCTGGCAAAGCCATGTTTATATACCAATGCAACTGTTATTAATGGCTCAGAACCAAACATTGTTAACAAACAGTGGATCCACACTGTGTGTGTGTGTGTGTGTGTATACACATGTCCCCATTCATAACATGACCCTCCTACACACACACACACACACACACACACACACACACACAGAGAGAGAGAGAAACGTGTTTCTATTGAGTAACAAATCCTCTTCACATCAAAACACCTGGTATAATAAAACTGTCCTCTTTAACGTTCAAAGAACAATTCCTAAAACTAGGTTAGAGACGAGTTAATATCAGGATTGCTGCCATCTATCAACTAATTCAAAGCAAAGTACAACTCAATGTCATTTTTAACTCTAATGAAGCCACAACTGAAACAAAATTAACTTCACTGTAAGATAAAGTATCCGGGCATCAGTACAGATTATTTACTTTTCTGATTTGACGGTACCTATATGTGTAATCTTTTGTCCCTCCCTCGGAATTTCAGGGTATCAACATCATCTTTATCAAATCGAATGACCAGCAAATCCCTCAGGTCATTACTTCAGCACCCTAAGTATCAGAAAGTCCTGGCCTTCCTTGTCGTTACAATATAGCAAAGAGAGTCTACAGTCCCATGCCCCCTTCCATTATAGTGGGGGAGGCAGGATAGGAGAGAAACGCTTGTATTTCCTAACAATCCTCTGTGTTCCGTCCTGGAACCTAAATAGGCGTGAGTACAAGTGATATGTGGGTTACCCTCAGAGAAACAGACGAAGCTTAATGACCCTCCAAGTACAGTAAAAACACCCAAAGCCTCAGGGGAAACGCAGCAGCAACCCTAGGGGAAATGGGCCAGAACCAGAACGGTCTCCGAGGTGAGAGGGACGGGATTGGCACAAGCCCAAGGCGTGGAGCGACCTAGAAGTCTCCGGTACTCTCCTCCAGGTCTCCAGGGTCCGTCACTCCGCGAGGGGTGCGGCCGAAGGAGGGCGTCCGGACAGGGGAAGGGCGGGACCCAGGACTAACCCGCGGCACCCTGGGGGTTCAGGGGGTGTGTCCTACCTGGGCCGTGACGGACGCAGGGATTTCGGGTTGAGGGCTCCGGTCCAGCTCAGACCCGGGACCGGCAGGGGCCAACCCTCAGCAGGCGGGACCGCCGCCGCCTGCCCATCCCCCGCCGCCCACTGCGGCGGGACCCGAGCGCGGCTTCGCGGGCCGGCCGGCCAGCCGGGTAGTCCCCTCGGGTACTGTCCGCCTTTACTGGCGGCGGCGGCGGCGGCTGCTGCTGTTGTTGCTGCTGGTGGCCGCCCCCAGCCGCTGCTCTTGTGCCAGCCTCTGCTCCTCCTCCTGCCGCCGCCGCCGCCGCCTCGTCCCCACCGCTCCCATCGCCGCTGCGGCGACTACTGCAGCGCCCGCTGACCCGACCCGACGTTATTCTCCCCCTTCGCAACCCGGCACAGCCTAGCCCACCTGCCCTGCCAGTGCGCACGCCCACCTCTCCACCACAGGTGCTGATTGGAGATCGCTTTGCGAGCCCACAGCGTCGGTTGGCTGGTCCCATTGCCTATCACGAAGGGGGCGGAGAGTAGGACAGAGAGCGTCTCCGCCCCCACCGGAGAATTGCCGCTATCTTCAGGTTTGCCTGAGAGGGCGAGTTACCGGGAAAGGAGCATCACAATGGCAGCGCGCATGCGCTTAGGAATTCTGGGCTTCGTAGTTCCAGCCACCGCCGCTACTGCCTGCCTGTCCTGAAAAGAGACGTAGGGCTTCTGAGACTAATAGTAGGCGCAAATGGGTGTTCTAGCTCAATAGTTAACTTGGTTACAGAGGCATGGTTGTAGGTCCAAGGTTGAGCTTTGAGGAGGAAAATCGGAAGTGCTTTGTCATGATACGAATATACACACTGAGGCAGTCCAGATGAAGGGAAGGGCTTGAAATCCTGAGGCCCTGTCAAAGATTGGGGGATTCATCACCTTCTCAGAACCAGAGCTGCCAGAATGTCGCGAATTGACGCTGTCCCCAGAACCACCTGATCTAAAGCTAGGGCCAGGGAAAGGAGTAAACATGTGAGGAGGGAAGACGGATTTATAAAGGAATGGCAGACTGGAGATGAGAGTCCTTGCGGTTTCACAGCCCACAAAGAACAAGATTCCGTTCCCGTCTTGAAACATCACAAGTTTAAAAACCCAATGAACAACTTCGGTGGGAACCAGTAAGAAATTGTAAGCTAGAGTATGCGGGAGTAGCTTAAAGACTTTCAAAAGAATAGCGAGGAAGGTGAAGCAATGAGGTTGTGTGGGGTAAATTTGTATTCAGTGTTGATTGTGTCTTCCTCTTTTAGTAAAAGAAAACATTAAGATTAAGCCCCTCTCCTGTCTTTATCTACCGGTTTACAGAGGAAAAAGTTCAACTGAAGAGGTTAAAACTTTCTCAAGGCTATAAAACTAATTAGTGGTAGAACCAAAACAGGTCTGTTAAACCTCCCATGTCCCGTGCTCTTTCTTCTTAATAATCAGAAGTACTCCCAGGAATTGCCATGAACGGAAAGGATGGGATGAATTATAGGCTTCATTTAAATCTTTTTCTTCAATCAAGTGCATTATCATTGAAGCTGATTCAGAATATAGAAAAGTTAGGACTGGGGTTTTAGCTCTGTTGGTAGAGTGCTTGTCTAGTATGCATAAGGCCCTGTGTTCAATCTCCAGCACCACATTTTAAAAGAAAAAGAATATAGAACAGTTAAATATAAACCCTATATTAAATTTCAGAACTGTTCTTACAGAATTTAATCTCGTGCAGGAAATGCCACTGTCCCTTGACTTTCTTCTAAAAACAGGAAGCGCCTCCCCTATCATGTCCAAATTCTTGAACAAAAGCAGGACAAAATGTACATTAAAGGCAACTGATGATGCAGCTCATCTTGTTCTATTCAAACATAAGGGAGTTGCCAAATTGTTTTCTTTCTACTGATTAAAACCATAAGTTGCTTTTCCCCCCATTACTTTGTGTAATAGGATATAGTTCACAGTATTGTCCAGATACAGAATTTATACAGGAAAGGGTCAAGGTTTTGTAAATATTTTTCTTTTAAATTAAAAAGGTTTTATAGGGAAATTTTATAGGGAAATGTCCACTGAAATTATGTTTAGCAATAAAAGTCTCCCGTTTTCTTTGGTTTTTCCCATTTTAAGAATTTGGGGGAGGGGGTGCTGGGTTTGTTCCTTAGTGGTAGGAGTGCTTGCCTAGCATGCTTGAGGCACTGGGTTCGATCCTCAGCACCACATAAATGTAAAATAAAGATATTGTGTCCCTAAAACTAAAAAATAAATATATAAAAAAGAATTTTTGGTCTGTCCCCAGATATACATTTTTCTGTTAAGATAATTGGCAAGGTGATATATTATTCAAGATCTGGTCCTAGAATTTAGGAATCTCCTTTGATATAATATATGTAACTTAAAAAGAAAAACATGCCAGCAAACCTTCCAATATGGTCCCTAATGATTCCTGTTTCCTTATGTAGTCCCTCCCATACTGAATTGGGCTAACCTATGTAGCCCGTAGTGTTTTTCAGGAATTTAGTTGTGTTCATGGTGCGTGAATATCAAGGGTAGGTCCTAAAAGACAGTGTAGCTTCTGCCTTATGGTCTCTTGGATAATATCTTAGAGGGGAACCAACTGTCATATCATGAGTATCATGAGGACATTCGAGCAACCCCAAGGAGAGGTCTTCTGAGAACTGAACATCACACCAATAATCAGCAGCAGCTTGCTATCCATATTTGTGAGCTATTCTTGGAATCTGGATCCTTTGGAATACAGACACTTTAGGCCCAGTCAAGCCTTCAGATGACTGAAAACCCAACTGATATCTTCACAGCCACCTTGTAAGATACCCCAAGCAGAGTTATCCAGTCAATCCACTCCCAAAATCCAGACCCTCAGAACATGTGTGATAAAATAAATATTTAGGGTTCAATCCTCAGCACCAAAAATAAATACATGTTTACTTTTGCTTTAAATACTAACTGGTCATGTAACAATAGATAACTAATACAGTAAGATTTGGGGAAATGACTATCATAGAGGTATACAGCTTATATAAATACTCTTGGACAACAGTCAGTAAACAATACTACAGGCCAAATCCTTGAGATCTTCTGAGACTTTGATCTCATTTAACCTGTCAGCTGCATGGTGATTTTGACTTGACAGAAATGCAATCACACCAAATATATTAAGTACCTCAAGTTTTAGTTTTAATTTTTCTGAAGTGTTTGCTTCTTCTTTTTTTGTATTGGAGATTGAACCCACTTTACCATTGAGTATATGCTCAGCCCTCGTTTTTTTAATTTTTATTTTAAAAGGGGGGCAGTTTCTCACTAAGTTGCCACAAAGCTGGCCTCAAATTTTCTTTTTTTTTGGAGGGGGGTTACCAGGGATGGAACTCAGGGGGGCACTCAAAAACTGAGCCACATCACCAGCCCTATTTTGTATTTTATTTAGAGACAGGGCCTCACTGAGTTGCATAGCATCTCAATTTTTGCCGAGGCTGGCTTTAAACTCATGATCCTCCTGCCTCAGCCTCCCAAGCCACTGGGAGGCGTGGGCCACCTTACACTGCTTGGCCTCAGATTTTCGATTCTTCTGAGCCACTGGCATTACAGGCATGTGTCAAAACACTCAGCAATAACTGCAATTTTGAGAATATGACTAGTTGTCTTTAAATTGATTGTCAATTTGTGTTTAATGATGATGATTAAAATAGACTACAACATCAGGGAAAACTGAAACTGATTGGAACAAGTAAAATAAGAAAAACTAAAAGAGTTTACATTTATAAAAGTAAGTCTAGGACTGGAGGTAGAGCTCAATGGCAGAGGGCTTGCGTAGTATGCCTGAAGCCCTGGGTTTGATCCCCAAGACCTCCAACACGCACACACACATACACACAAAGTAATTATAGTTATTTTTAAATTTGATTCCCATTTTTCCCTAACTTCAATGAAACTCAGAATTATTATAACAGTAAAGTTAACAGCTAATTTTTGTGAGTTTTGTTAGAATACTGAATTCTATATATGTTTGCTTAGTCTTTTGGGTCCTTTTTGTTGCCATGTCATTTATAATATAGCCTTTTTGAATACTCACAGTTTTAAAATTAAAAAATGGTGAGATGATTCTGTGATTCCTGATATGCACCTGTGACAGTATGAAAAAAGTTCTGGGGCTTTCAGTATGGTTTAGTGTTTAACTACTGCAAATATACTGAACAGCTTTCTGTCATTTTTCAGACTACACTGGTAGAATGACTGACAAGCTGGCTGTGCTAATAGCACACCCTAATGACCATAGTATCCCATTGCAAGCAGTGCTGAAACAATACAATTGTCTCATATTTTTTAAAAAAATATTTATTTTTTAGTTGTAGTTGGACACAATACCTTTATTTATTTATTTTTATGTGGTGCTGAGGACCTCACACATGCTAGGCAAGCGCTTTACCACAGAGTCACAACCTCAGCCCCATGGTCTCATATTTTTGTCTTATTAATCAAAGCATATTATTCATTGGATAGATATTTTTATAATTTCTAGATCTGATAACTGATGATTATGATTTTGATAAATATTATCTTAAAATGTTTTTCTGATTGTGTTATCTGGACATAATATATTCTACAAAATAAAATATATTTATAGATAGCAGATAAAATTTTCAGAAATGTATTGGATACCTGCATCAAGGTTATTGTATGATGTTCTGCGTTGAATTAAAGAAATACAAGATGTGGTTCTCACATATGCTATTTTCTTTTGGGGGAGGGTACCAGGATTGAACTCGGGGGCACTCGACCACTGAGCCACATCCCCAGCCCCAGCCTATTTTGTATTTTTATTTAGAGACAGGGTCTCACTGAGTTGCTTAGTGCCTTGCTGTGGCTGAGGCTGGCTTTAAACTTGTGATCCTCCTGTCTCAGCCTCCCGAGCCTTTGAGATTACAGGCATGCACCACCGTGCCCAGCATATATGCTATTTTTTTGTTGTTGTTGTTGCAGATAGACACTATTTATTTATTTATTTATTTAATGTGGTGCTGAGGATCAAACCCAGTGCTTCACAGGTGCTAGGCCATCACTCTACCACTGAGCTACAACTCCAGCCCTTACATATGCTATTTTTTTACTTTTATGCCTAAGAATTCCTTTTTTTTTTTTTTTTGAGAGAGAGAATTTTTTAATATTTATTTTTTAGTTTTTCGGCGGACCCAACATCTTTGTTTGTATGTGGTGCTGAGGATCGAACCCCGGGCCGCACGCATGCCAGGCGAGCGCACTACCACTTAAGCCACATCCACAGTCCCTCTTACATATGCTATTTTGAATTGCAGGTTTTTTT